TGAGGCCTTCTCGCAAGGAAGCGCTTGGTTGTTTTTTTTTGAGGATTTGTATGAGACTCTGCTCATTTCGTCTCTTTGCAGAACTGGCAACTGTTTGTCATCCAGCGGCTGCTCCAGAAGATTCCAACCGACAGTCAACTGAATTTTTTTTTTCTCTTCTCCCCTTTCTTCAGATGGTCATTCAGACATTGGTCCACTACATGCTAGCCTGTGAAACCAAACGTCATCAACTTTCTCTTCCTCAGCCGGAGGACCACATACAGACATTGGCAAACTTTGGGAGAATTCCGCGCTCGTGTCAGTGGGTTTCATCTCAAATGGTTTCCATCAAAACCCCGTTTGGTGAATTTCTTGATTGGTGTCTTGCTGTTTTCCAGAAGTGACGTCACGCTGCCTGGGGAAAGGGTCTTCCTGGATTAGGTGGGCTGAAGTGCACCCTGGTTCCTCTCCTTCCTTGCGGTCTGCAACTTGACAAGGAACCTGCAAGTGAAATAAATGGTCATGTCAACAAAACCTTGGTGATGCATCATCCATTTTTGACCGCTTACTCTGCTTCTGTTTGGTCAGCTGGAGAACGACGTCCAGAAGGGTCTGAAGCCAACTTTGGAGCAGCCTGCCAACAAGAAAAGTTGCACTGGTGCATACATGCGCAAGCGCTGCAGCTTGGCGGTTTTTCTTCAAGGTCCGATGACTGCCCAAGAAGTCCCAGGTCCTCTTCCTCACTGGTGGGTTTCTTCTTGTCTAAAATTTGCTGTACCAGAAATGCGCTAAAATCCTTTTTCCTCTGTCCACTTCACCAGGCGGCGACTGTCGTCCAACTCTTGGCTTGATGCATTCAGCTAGAAGAGGTTATACAATGGGCAGTAAGTTTTGAATGCTTGACAGTTTTCTCAATCCCTTCTTTGACCCCATATTGTTTGTTGCGCAGGAGCTGAGCGTGATGTGGCCGTGCGAGCACTTGTTCAGAGTCCCAGACAACTTCTGTGCTGGTTAGTTTGATCACATTTCAAATTGCATTTGCTGCACAAGAAGTGGACTTGAGACTCACCAATCTCATTTTTGTCTTAGGTCCACGTGTTGGCCCAGCTCTGCTGTCACAGGCTGACTTCACCAGGCAACGAAAAGTAGAAGGCTGCAAAGTCATCCAACTTGGACATTTTAGGTGAGTGGTTTTTTTTAAACACTTTTTTGTAATTTTTAAACTTTTTTATTTTTTATTTTTGTAATTTTAAGGCTAACTTTTTTTTTACTTTAACTTTTTTTTTACTTTAACTTTTTTTTTTACTTTAACTTTAACTTTTTTTTTTTACTTTAACTTTGTCTTTGAACATGTATTCTTGTAAAATAAAATGAAAACAAAAACATCTCGACTTCCTTCATCAATGAAAGTGGGTGGGACTAGGGGTGTGGCTATGCAAATAAAGGAGCAATCCGATTGACTGGTGTGAGTGGGCGGGGCTATGCTAATGAGTATAAATTAGCATAATGAGTGTGGTTATGCAAACCTGGTGGAAGGCTGGTGATGGGCGGAGTTATGCAAATATGTGTGAATACAGCACTGTCATTGGTCGATTGGTCAATTGTGGGCGGGGCTATGCGAATAAATTTGCATGCCCTGCTGTGATTGGTTGATATGGTAATTTTGGGCGTGGCCATGCAAATATTGTCGCCGCAGGCGGAGTTATGCAAATATATATATTTGCATCGTACATTCTGATTGGCTGTGCTAATCCGTTGTGGGCGGGGTTATGCAAATAAATCTCCCGTTTCGTGATTTTGGTGCAAGTGGGCGTGGTTATGCAAATAAATTTGCATGCCGAGTTTTGATTGGTTGATCCCGGCCACTGTTGGCGTGGCTATGCAAATAAATTTGCATGTCGTGATCTGATTGGGTATGCAAATTAGTTGTGGGCGGGGTTATGTAAATTTATTTGCATGTCGAATTTTTTTTTTCGGGTGGGCGTGGCGTATGCAAATATATTTGCGTGCCGCAGCCTGATTGGTTGCTTCGAGGATGTGTAGGCGGGGTTATTCAAAATAAATTTACATGACGCATTGTGATTGGTCGATTTGGGCAATTGTGGGCGGGGTTTGCAAACAAATTTGCATTAAAATTCCTCTCTTGCATGGGCGGGGCTCTGTAAAGTGGGTGTGGTTATGGGCGGCAACCGGAGTTGTCTGCGTTTTTGTCCTGGAAGACGTTTGGCTTCTGGTCCGAGCAGGTTTCCTGGGTTCATGCGCAAACACCAGAAAGGACAGCTCGCCCTTTCTGGCCTTGAGCATCAATCCAAGAAGTCTGCTCGGACCAGAGGCCAAACGTCTTCCGGGACAAAACCGCAACAACTCCGGTTGCCATTCATAACAAGGCCACTTTAATTAAACTTAGTGAGACACAAAACATGCAGACTGATTCCAGCCGAACAATATATTGACAAGCATTTTTTTAAAACAATTTCACGTCATATGGGCAATAAAGCTTGACTCAACTTCAACACCAACACTGGCTGACAGGCAGTCCATTTAACACCCTTGTGCTGCAGTTGATGTAAATAATTTTATAGAATGCAAAATCCAATTCTTCAAAAATTGTCAAAGTATTATTCCTGAATATTTATTTTACTTTCAACCACTTGACATGTTCAGTCGCATCAGCGCCATACGTACACATATTGTTTTGTATTTTTGCCCTCTATGGACAATAAAAGCGGTACTGTGCTATGACCAAAACATAAATATAAATCTATATAAATAAAACATGAATTGGAATATTTCATATCACACAAATTTAAAGATGACACACGCAAAAATCTAGAAAAAAATTGTCGAAATTGGAACACAAGGGTTAAGCCAGCAGCAGAGGACACCACGTTGTCTGCTTGACGAAGCATGGACTGCACAACACTGACACACTTGGATGCTGGCAACAACATCACTCACTGCTTCTGAACATGTGCTTTGGAGAAAATGTTGGATCTGTCATTGTAGATATTAATTCAACATTAACCCAGGAATGCCATTTCAAAGCACAGGTTCAGAAGCGTTGACTGATGCGTGTTCAAATGTCACACAGTCCATAAAACTGAGGCCAAAGTTCACTTAAGTAACATCATACAGCTCCCCAAGCACACAAAATGACGCCCTGTGCTGCTGCTGATGCTGCTGCTGCTGATGCAATCTTGTACAGCCTGTTAGCCAGTGTTGTTATGTCTAACGCTGTCGTGTGAAGAGCACAGATGTGCATTTTGGTCATTTTTACAATGGTGACGTTCAGCCAACCGAACAATGTAAAATAAATCAGTAAAATGACCAAAATAGTCATTCTGTCTGGCCTTGTGAATACTTAATGAGTACTCATTGAATATTCAAATTTCGATTACTACGTTAGGGATGTACACTTTGACTCCTTATTGCTGCAAAACAACAAAATGAACGTCTCGGAACAGTTCATATGTTTTAGAGTACACGCGAGAGATCATTAAAGTAATATTTTTTGTTTTTACGACGAGCTGACTATTCATTATTTTTAAGAAAAAGCAACTGTAAACCGTCGTTTACAATATAATTCGCCAGATAGTGATCTATTATTGCATTCAAAACATATTTGTACTCCAAGATATCTCACATGATTGATCGTTTTCGACGGTCGAAATAAATTTCCATTAAAAAATCGGATTAGCATTATGTCTCGTTTGATTGTGTGGATGCGCCCAATGTTTTGATCGAATCGAGACAAGCTAAACAGAAGACAATGTTTATTTATTTTTTTAAAAGAGAAAAATATTCTTTTAGAGAAGCTTCCAGTGAAAAGGAGGAAAAGTTGAGCACGCGTTACCTTTGCACAACACGTCGCCACTTTTGCACGCAGACAGCCAGCAGCCGACTCGGAGACAACGTTCCTGCACTGTGGTCGTCTCCTGCGCATTAAAAAAAAAAATCCAAAAATGCCTGACTTAGATCGAAAGTACCAAAACTAACTTCGCTCACGTGTTGGAAGAACATCAAAAATAGGAGCAAACAAAATGCCAAGGCAAACAATGACTCGTTTCCGGTTTTGGTCCGCCTTTTAGTTCCGGGTCTCAGCTCAAAGAACTTGAAAAATAAATTCTGGACCTCGTTAATATGCGTCGAAAGACACGGGCAAAGTTTTAAATTACTCATCCTTAAAAAATAGTAATAAAAAAATATTTTTTTAAAAAAATTATGTCTCCTGTATTTTACGTGCTTGCTCTCGCCTTACGTCGCTCGATAAACACAACCTATACGGTGACCCTGATGTTTTGGCCATTTCATTTTGTATGTTTGAGGGGTGGGGGGCCCGGCGGTCTGTCTATCCATCCATTTTCAACATCAGAGTCATCGAATTTAACAAAGCGTCTTTTATTAGAACAGTACAGCAGATGTCAAGGTCTCTGAAGCAAACACTCCCATCACGAACGCAAAAGTGCGCGCGGGCATCCAATCTGCCCTCTCACTTACAATAAATTAATAGAACGTCAACACAATAAAATGAATCATGATGAAAGCAAATGCATATTCGAAGACACTCGCCCATCATTAACAAAGCGTGTTGATGTAAAAAAAAACAGATTCACAAAAAAAAAAAAATCTTTAAAACAATACAGGACTTAAAAGGTAATAAAGATAGATTGTATTGAATTATTTGATTTTTACTGATATCTTTTAATGCTGGCGTTTTATTTGGTTCTGCTTTCACTCAGAATAAAAGGCTTTTTTTTTTTATAAAAAGGCATAAAGGGAAAATAGATGAATGAAAATGGCTACATCTTCAGAAAAATTCTTGATCTCATCTTAGATTTGGTTTCAAGCCAAACATTTGCACAAGATCAGAGTTGGACACGTGGCAAATGTGAGGGGGGGAAAAAAAATCGTACTTTTCAACGCTTCTCCTTGCATATTCAATAAAATAGTTCCACTGTAGCACCCCATCCTCACCAACGCACCCTTTTTTTTTGTTCATTTTAATATATATATATTTAATACAAATCTATACCCCAAATTTAGAAATCTTATTTACATGAAAAAGATTTTTGTTTTATTTATGTAAAAGTGACACCTCACAGAAGCCCCTTGTAACCTTCACAATCAAGGAAGATATTCAATTTTTTTTAAATAAAAGCTCTTAGGTTTGAATTATAAAAAAAAAAAAAAAAAAACGGCATTCAAAAAAAACTAAAGCTCACGCACCCAATTTTTTTTAATAGAAAAATGATGCTTTCTTTGCAATATAAATCATGAAAATCTCCAAGAGGAAATGGTTGATTAATGTCCAGAGGTCTCAACGAGCAGTTCGTCAACCTCTCAAAAAGTGGCTTTCGAGTACAACGTGTCAGTTTGGAAATGTGAGGCCGTCCCGCGACATGACAAGCCACATTGTCCTCCTCGGAGAGGAGTGCAGCCGGCGAGTGTGCGCGTCGTCATTAAGACGTGCCGGCTCCCTGCAAAGAGGTATTGCCAACACACGGGCGTGTGTTAGAGCATTCTGTCGTCAGTGCAACCCGCTCCGGCCGTGTAGCGAAACTCCTGCAGGTTGGAGACACCGTGGAAGTGCACGAAAGCGCCGGCCACCACCAAGATGTGGAACAACTGGTGGGAGTGGAACTGGAACACACAGCGGGAGACACTCAACGGAGGCTGCTTTCAAGGCAGCCGGAATTGCATGCGTCGGCGCGCGACGTACCCAGATGTCGCACTTGCCGGGGAAGAACCTCTCCGGGATGCGAGCGGCGTAGAGGCAGGCTCCGGTGATGTAAAGCGTGGCCATGAGGAAAAGCCAGCCCATCTGTCCGATGGTGGTGGCCCTGATGAGACCCTCGCTGATGACAAAGTGCAGGGTGGGCACCACGCCGCTCAGCCCCAAGCCCACAAACACACCTGGAGCGAGACGGCGGAACACGCCATCAGAGACAGATCGCGACAACGTCGGAAGAAGGAAAAGGCGGCGACGTCGGCAGTGACCTGCGCGGACTCCTCGGTACTGTGGCGTGGCGAAAAAGTCGCACTGGGACACGGTGATGGCGGAAAGGCCCAGCACGCACACCACCAGCAGGTAGATGAAGCACGGCTGTGGCGAGCAGTAGAAGGAGTAGTAGAGCCACGGCACGAACGAGCCCATGATCAGGAAGGCGATGCCGCACCGAAATTATCAAAAAAATATTAAAAAAAAAAAAAAAAAAAAAACGTTTTCATATCCATG